GTGCCGACCATTTATTCGAGCAATTTGGTCAGGAAAGGAAGGAGGAAACTGTTCAGGGGTGGCGGGAGTATGTGTGTACATGGGATTAATTTTTTGTTCAGTTGCAAATTTTTTTTAAAGGGTAAGAAGGGTATGAGAAGCTGATGGTATCCAAAAACAGGATTGTTTATCCAAACCAAAGATCAGAATGGAATAATGATATGCTTTTGGCAGAGGGTGGGGAGGGAGGAACTTATTTGGCAGGGTGCTCACCCACGTGAGAAGCGGGGCTTGAAACTGATATTTGAGGGAGAGGCAGAAAAAAACCCTAGCTAAAATGGACAAGCCAAAACACCAGGGAGGCTGAGGGAGACAATGAAATGGAAGAGGTGCCCAGGGACCAGCAGAAGCCTACAGGGAGAGAGTGAGCTTAAATGCCACAGCCCCACATGACTACATACTCCTACTGCAGAGTGTGGCTAAAATCCAAGTCATCGTATCTGATAAATATAACATTGATCATTTATTGAATATTTCCTAACTGCTAGCTTTTCCCATGACACTCCAAATGAAATGAAACTGGAGTTCAGAGAAATTAAGTAATTTACCCGATTCATACAAGATCACACATCTAGAAAGTTGCAGTCAAACTCAAACCCCGTGTGTCCATTCTCTGACCCACTCAATTCCGCTGAGCCGCCAGGCTCTTGAAAGTGACCTCACAGAACATGTTTGGATGGAAAAGATGAACACAGATGAGGCTTCCTTTCAGGACAGGGAACTGACAGAGTGGTGGAGAGGATGAACCTAGAGTCAGGGAAGAGGTATGGGAATTCACAGCCATGGGGACAGGCTCATCGAAGGAGTGGCTACAGGCTGCTTGGTCAATGGAAGCTGTGGGCAGGGAAGACATGGCTTTCCCAGTAATCTCAAAGCTGGTCCAACCGAGGGCACGACGTGATTAGAATGGGTTCTTCCATCATCTCCTGAATAATAAAACTTTCATTTAATGAAAAGCAGAGTTTCAAATTACGTCTTGAGTTGCCCAGCAGACAATATGATTTCCCAGACAATCTAGATTGCAGCAAAAGAAACTCCTATCTTGGGTTGAGTTCGATGGGTTGAAAAAGAACTAGTTGTGAAGTGGAAAGGAACCTTGGGGAAATTAATGACTTCATAGGAGTCTTAATTGGACATTAAGAAGGCATATTAAAAAATCAGAGAAAATTTGGACCAAAGACTTTAAAGAGAAGATGGCTTGAGAAGACTGGGAAGTTCACAAGAGAAAAATTGTGAAGACACAACCACAGTCAGTAGGCACGAATATACAGAACAAATATGAGAAAATGGACACTCAGAGATGTCAGTCGGATAGTGGTCCAGTTAATGGATTTGGATTTCCAAGGGACAAGCACCACAGAGAAGCACCAGGTCACAGAGAAGGTCATGGCAGGCCCCTGTCTCTGAGTTGTACAAAAGCTGACCAACTCACTACTTCAAGACAAAGTAGGGACTCAAAAAGTATCAGCAGAGTCAGACCAGCATGTGGAGGGAGCAAGCAGAGTTCTATAAAGCAATTTTATTATGTTAAATCTTATTTTAAAAGATTGTAATTATTACAGTAGCTAGCATTTTTTTGAATGGGTTCCATGTGCTAGGCATTGTTTGAAGTATTCTTCATGCACTTAATATACAACCCAAGAAACATGTATTATCAGTATCCATATTTTATCCTCATGTAAGGATAAGTTAATTACTTGTCCTGTAGAAGGTGGTGTCTATAGTGAAGGGGTTACCTTTACCAATGGCTGATTCTCTTTGTATGATATTCATGAATTGGGAAATCCTGCTAGAACGAATTTCATTATAATATAGTGGTTTTGAAGTCTATTACTACATGAATCCTGCTTTGCTCATGGAAAGACACAGTTACTGTTAGAAGAGAAGTCCTACTTCCCAGATTTGTTTCCATTCTCCAGTCAGTTGACTCATGCTGTAACGGCTGCTGAAGATCTGAACAGTACAGCCGGGCAGGATGGAGGTGCCAGGGCTTGTAGCAGGATTTGTTGTCCAAGCCCTGCTCTGGGGCTTGCACAGGTTAGCGGCCACCATGGAGGCGGTCAGAGGCAAGCTTAAGCTCAGGACTTTCGTTCTGACCCAGCTCTGTTTCTCTCATGGCGCATGACTTTGCAAGTTCATGTCAGTGACTTAGCCCCTGCTGTTATGGAGTGGGTGGTATCTCCCCACCCAATTCATATATTGAAGCCTTAACTCCCAATGTGACTGTATCTGGAGACAGGGCTTTTAGGGAGGTATTTAAGGTTAAAAGAGGTCCTAAGGGTGGGGCCCTAGTCCCCTAAGACTGGTGTCCTTTCTAGAAGAGGAAGAGACATAGGAGCGTTCTCTCTCCATGTATGCAGAGAAGCCATGTGAGGGTACAGTGAGAAGGCGGCTGTCTACAAGCGCAGGAAAAAGGTCTCCCCAGAAACCAACCCCGATGGCATCTTGGTCTTAGACTCCAGCCTCCTGAATGGTGAGAAAATAAATGTTTGCTGTTTAAGCCATCCAGCCTATGGTATTTTGTTATGGCAATCCTAGCTGTCGAATATACCTGCTAAGCCTGCTTTCCTATGACGTGGGGATTAATGATAGGACCTGACCATAGCCCCCATCCCATTCCTTGTTCCAAGAATAGCCATGTAAAAAGCTGAGCATGTGCCTGGTGCACAGTGAGAGCTTGATGATTTCAGTTGTTATTGTTACTAATACCGAAGTGTAGTTTCCACCATAGTATCCGACCACACCCACATGGTAGGTATGGGGTGGAAACGAGACCTGCACTTCTGAAACCTTTCTTGACAACGGAAGAGTATGCACACCGTGCCCCCCCCCCCGCCCCCGCCGGGACAGAGGTATAAGAAATGTCTGCTGCAATGATTTTCCAAGTCTCATGTTTTTTCTTAAAAACACATACAGATTGTGAATTCTAATTAATAGTGTCACGTTTTGGCTTTAATTCATAAAGTGTTTGCAATAATTTATCACGGCAGACAACTACAACTAAGGATCTAGACAGATAACTGGGTCCTGTGTGCCCCGACTACTTTTCTGGCATTTTGCAAAAGCCTTTACAAGTCACAAAGAACTGTTCTGATGTGAGGACTTAGTAATCATTCTGTTTTGTAAAACATCAGCATTGCAATGGACCTGAGGTGCACTGTGAAGTATGTTTCATATTACGAATGAACTAACTGAACCAGTGTTAGTGAGCTCCTACTGTGCGCCAGGCAGTGTCAGCAGAGAGCCCACACAGGCCTTCCCCGCCTTCGGAGCGCACAGCAGGGCAGGGGAGATATGCTAACAGGTAGATGGATCACTAACTTAGTTATGGCACACTGCGGCGAGAACTGGGAAGGAGAAGGACAGTAGCCTTGGCAAGCCTGCAGTGGGGGAGAGGATCAGAGCCCCAGAATATTCTGAGTCCTAACAGATTCCTGGAAGTCCTGCTTCTTGGGAAGAGTGCTCCGGAGGCAACCTTCTGAAGTAAAGCATCAGTTACTACATATTTATACTTGATCTTAGCCAAAAGGCCAAGAAGCGACTGTTTATCGAGCATTTAAAACGAAGTGAATTATTGCCACCTTTGGTGTGTTTGAGGAGGACATAGCCTGCTTTCCACAATTCTGGGTAGGCTAGTTATGAATTTTTATACTGGGGACCAAACAGGGTGGGATTTGACAATTTGTGGGGGGTAATGGGGTGGGGAACAGTGCTTTACTTTAGATGTATGACGTGGGAAGTGGGGACAGAGGACTGAGGGACATTAGAGGTGCCTCTGTCTCTTTCTCCTCCCTGGTGAGTGTGGGTACTCTGCAGACTCATCTAGGAGTCAGTTAAGAGTGAGAACTGCTTTATAAATCTTGAACTGGGAGCCAGGGGTCCTCTCTAGCCCCCTGGACTCTGGCTTTATCTGTCACAGGAGTGCAGGGGAGGTTACTCTGACCCTTGCTCTCACACCCATCCCTGCCCAGTGTCCTCCTAATTGCTTCCACACCCCTGGTCACTGCCTCCCCCCCGGTGACCTCAGCACAGCAAACAGGCAGATGGAGGAAGGGTGTAAGATTATTATAGGGAGGGGGGAGAATTTTCCATTAACAACAACAATAACAAGAACAATAATGCTTCTTTTGTTGGCACCACACTCACCAATTTACCGAGTGTATTCACACCTGTGATCTCTTTGGATCCCAGAGATGGGGGTTTAGGACCCTGGTGTCTCAGCCTGAGACACAGTCCCCATGTCCAAGCAGGCCACTTCTTTACAGACACATGCTTGGAGATGTCTAGGCCTTTTAAGCCCAGCCCCCCATGAACGCTGCTCTCTTCTCTCATCTCAGTTCCAATTTCTGCACACCCCCACCACTACTGTGAAATTTCTATCCAATACACTCATCTCCTGACAGTTCAGGCGGGAAGGTGGCCTGGGAGACTATCTAGTCCTACCTTGTCACTGGCCCAGAGGGCAGAAGGGACTGGGCTAAGGTCACACAGCTTGTCAGGAAGAGACCGGGGCTCAGACACGCACAGGCTCCTGTTCTTTCTCCTCCCTGTGTCCTCAGGCTGCAGGCTTCCGTCCCTGGGGCTTCTCCCCAAGCGCACAGTGGGGTCTAAACAAGTCGGGGTGTTTCTGGACTGCAACCTGTTAACTTTCTTGTACCCTTCCTGAGGGGGTTGGGGTGGAAAAGCTCACTGGACTCAGGAATCTGGTGGGGGATTCTTTTACCAAGTTAAGAATCTGAGTGTACGGAACTTTGGTTTTACGCACTGGAGGCCACTCAGCCCCGGGACGAACAGACACCCGGCTGCCCAGGGCAGAGAGGCACCTGCACACACAGCCCCAGGACTTCCAACCCCCAACGCCGCCCCACGATCCCCTCTCCCTCCCCTCTGGCCTCCCCTTCGCCGGCTCTTCCCCTCCCCGCCCCGCGCGGCAACAAGTGCGGCCGCTCGGCTCCTCTTACCCCGGCCTCGGTCCATGGCGCCCGCCGGTCGCGGGGCGCGCGGCGCAGGTTGCGGTGGCTCCGGCGGGGCTGGCGCCGGCGGGCGCGCCGCGTTCTGAGTCGGCCCCGCGGGAGCGCCCTCCGCGCGTCCCCTCCCCCAGACAGGATGCTCGCGGCTCCCCCGCCCGCCCGCCCTCCACGCCTCTCCCGGAATAGACCCGGAGCGCCGCGCCCCTGGGCCGGGGCCGGCGTCCCCGGCCCCGCACACGCCCGTGCCACGCCCTGCCGGCCGCACGCCCTCCACGCCCCTCCCGCGGGGCCGCAGGACTCCTTTCCGGTTGCCGCGCGCTCGTTCCCGCGCCGCGCGTCCCGCTCCCGCCCGGCCCAAAGCGGTGTCAGCTCTGCTTGCTCTCCGTTAGGGACGGGGGGCTCACCATCGCATCCCCGGCCCATGCACCGTCAGATTGCCCAGACTGTTAGAGCGTGTTTCTCCCCCCGCGCGACGGGACCAAACCTCCCTCCCTGCAGCTGCCACCCATTTCCTGGCTTGGGGTTTATCGTCTTTAGTCGACAGGTCTTTTCTGAGCAACTTGTCGCGCCAGACAGTGCACCGGGTGCCATGCTCGTGTCAGTAACGGTGTGAAAGAGGAGTGAAGTAATAATAATAAAAAACAATACCGCATGCAAAGGCAGCGAGACAAGGAAGGGCCTGAGAAAGAGCATCCTGCAATTTCCTGGACTGGGATTTTTTTCTCCATTGCTTTTAACGGGCAGTTTGAAATGAACGTTGGCTTTGCAAAATTGCACGGGTAGTTTGTTTCGTGTGCCTGTGAGCACTCAGAGGAAATGTGGTGTAATGAAAACACAAAAGCCCCAAACAATGGGAATTGAGCCTGAAACTTGTGTGTGAGTTCTTGCTCTCCTAGTTTCTAAATGTATAATATTCAGTTTATGAGGCTCACTTGCTCATCGGTGCTGGGGGAAACCTCATACTGACCTCACAAGAGTGTTCACAGGGCAAATGAAATGATGATACAAACCCATGTTGTAAACCATAAATGGCTATAAAAATGTGAGCCATTATTATTTTCCAAGTTCCTCTTTGTTCCTGCCCACGTTTCCAATTGGAAAAGGTCAGTTACATTCTAAAGCAGACAACCAACAGTATACAAGTGGATGAAGTTCCCAAAGTTCACTGTTTGAACTTTGAAACACTTGGAATTAAGGCTATAAATTGTAGTTAAGTTCCCAGGCTAGCCTGTTAATACTTTTAAAAACATAATATTTCATTTGAAGTAATTTAAAAAATTGAGAACGTAACTATTGTGAAAACAGATGGAGGCTTGGGTAGATTAACTCTCAGAAATTTTCAGGAACTTTGGAGGTTTATCAGAGAACTGGAAAAGAAAAGTCAAAAGGGATAAGAAGGATTTATATGTATCTGTAGAAGAATCTATGGAATGGATGAAAGGACCCGAGGTCTGGGAAAGATGTAAAAACCGGAGAATTTGGTCTATGCCCAGTTCTAAGGATTAAGGAAAAGATTTGCCCTGAGATTAGTGGTTTTGGTTTAGATAATTACCCATAGTGTCCACTGGGTGGCACTGTTGACTAAATTGACTACAGCTTGGTTGTTGTCAGGAAAACTGAAAGATGGACGAGAAGGCTACTTGCGGGTTTTGGACAAGGAATAATTGTGTGTGTGTGTGTGTTTCTGTACTTTTCTTTTAACAAAGTTCTATAGTTACCCTAAAAGCTATACCCACTTTTCATCGTTCACTTAGGAATATTTATTGCACTCTTTGTAAGTTTCTATCGGGAGAACTAACACTTAGGAATCATCTCCAAGGAATTTATAATCTAGGAAATAAATATGTACAAAATAATTTAATTACAAATTATTATGTGAAAAGCACCAGAGTGGAGATAAAGTGCTTTTTGAATTCATCAAGACAAAGCAAGACTTTCTTACTGAGCACGGCGGCAGTGCTGGGAGGCAGACGTTTGGGTGAGCCTGCATTGAGGAGATAGCGTTACAGGCCGAGAACACGGTGAGCGCCGAGGCAGACAGCTGCAGGATATGTCTGCAGTGCCGTTTGGTTTGGCCGACTGTGGGGTGCGGGGGGAAGCACCGGTTTCCCCTCCCCTTCCCATTTCCCTGTTAGAGTACAACTGTCTAGAAAGGAGTTTTAGGATCTGTCTCCTATCTCCCCTTTCCTCCTCACTCCGAACCAAGGCTCCCAGGTTTGTCTGGTGCCTGTCGGAAGAATTCTGTGTGAGGAGCTTCAGCTCTGAAGAATAGATATCAAATTCGGTCCCAGCGAACAATTCCAGGAAGAAAGCTCTCAGCTCCCTCACGCTCCCAGTCTTGTGAAAACAAACGATACTCTCCAGTCTCATTCTTAGCTTATCAGGTGGAACTGGGAAGCCCTGGGAAAGGAACATTTGGAGGCTAAAGGTTCTTTATCCCAGTGAGGCAAACATACTCTAGCCTTCTAACTTGTCACCATGCCCCGGGTCTGCGTCCACCCTGGCCACCAGAGTGACCATTCCATGATCCCAATCAGATCCCCCTTAAAATATGCAATGGCTCCCTCTTGTCCTCAGTGTAGAGTCCAAATTCCTTATTGTGGTATTTAGGGTGTCTTCTTCACTGAACTCCAACCCACCGTTCCTCAGGGTAGACAAGCACTGATCTCAGGAGACCTTGGGAAGAGGAAGAAAAACCACAGGTTGGGGGTTTAAATCTGGACTGTTGAGCTGACCCTTGTCACTGTGTGACTCAGTTCTTCCATTGGGTCGTCAGTATAGAGTTTCCTCCTCCTCTTGCCTCTCCCTGGTGCTCAGATTGCAAGCACTGCAGGGGTGGGTGCTGTGTCTTACTTCTGGATCCTCAGCACAGTGCCTGCACCTAGTAAGTGGTCATGTCCTGTGGAGAGAGTCAGTGAATAAATGCTCAAGCGCTCAGGAGGTTTCAGTGAATGCGTGTGTCATGGAGGGGTTCACTTAGCCTCTGGGATTATTTATTTGTTTATTTATTTGCAGAGGGAAATTACATTGCACTGAGGTGTTCTGTGAGCATTGCCTGTGCTTTCCACCTTCTTTGTAAGCTGCTGTAGACTGCAGTCCAGCCCACCGGGCTTCTCCTCCGCTCGGGGCCCCTCTCCCGAGCTCCTTTGTGCAGAGTGAGCCCCAGAGCCCCTTACTCGAATGTCTGCTCAATGCTGGTCGGTGGATGAAAACCTCTCTTGTTCCACTCAGCACAATGTTGCCATTATAGCCCCTATCCAGGGAAATGACACATGCCTGCTGGTCCACCCTGGGCCCTGGAAAGCAGATAGAGATCTGAGTGGCTGCTGCCGGGAGAGGGAGTTTCACAGATGGATGAAAACCCCTCCTTTTGTCATACCTGCAGTTTCTGTCAGGGCAGGGGCTCCTACCTGCACCCAGGCTGCAGGCCTTAGCTTCAGTGGCCAACAGAGCCCACTGCACTGGTTGTGTCTGGAGGAAAAGGAGCTCCTGTTTTTATGCCCAAATGCTGCACAAAGCCCACCCACTCCTTTTGGTCCTTCCTCCAGAGCTGCATAAATGAGGCTCACAGAATGAAGTGCCTCCAGGGTCAGGCAGGGGAGGTGTGTGTGAGCTGGCCAGGGGCGCAGTGGGGACAGTGGCACAGCAGGACACTCTTGTCCCAGTGGAAAGGCCAGTAACCAGTGTGGCCAGTGGGATGTTCAGAAGTGGCCTGAAGTGGCCAGATGTTCAGACTTGTTAGGAGAATCCATAAATCAAGATTTTAGTGTAAAATCTCTTTTGACGTAAAAATGCTGGTAACTAATACCAATAGATTTAAAACATTGCAAGAGCCGACTAAAACACCCCTGTGGGCTTAACCTGGCCTACAGCTTCCCCATGTGGAACCCTGAGGGAAATTGTGGACCCAGGATATCTGTGCAGCTGGTGCCTCCATCCCGAGGGCTGAGCTAATGCCCAGCCCTTACCAGCTCCGCTCTGCAGGGCTGGGCCGCACACCCATTTCCGCGGTAGGCATCAGGCTGACACCAGGCTGCAGAGGTCCAAAGTGAATTTCTTAAACCCGAAACTAGAGAAACTTCAGAGCCAAGAGGAGCCTGAGAGATTAGCCAGTCTGCTGCTTTCATTCGTCAGATGAGGAAACTGAGGCCCAAAGAGGAAAAAGTCTTGCCTGAAATCACACAAGAAACTTCGGGGCAGAACCAGGAGTGGTGCCCAGAGCCCCAGACTTGGTGACACCAGAACCATACTTTTCCTGCCCCCACAAGTGTCACTCTCTTTAGTATGTGGGACACAAAGATCATGACTTTGCATTGAGGTAGATCTGAGGTTGGTACCCAGTTAAAAGCATGATCTCCAACCTCTCTGAACCCAGACGCCTCATCTAAAAATCGGGGCTATGCCCTGGCCAGTTTGGCTCAGTGTTTGGAGCATCAGCCTGGGGACCAGAGAGTCCCGGGTTTGGTTCCCACTAAGGGCATGTACCTCGGTTGCAGTTTGTCCCCACCCTGGTTGGGGTTGTGTGGGTGGCAGCCACTCAGTGTGTCTCTCTCACATCGATGTTTCTCTCTCTCTTCTCCCTTCTGTCCCTCCCATTCTATCTGAAGATAAATGTCAAAATGTCCTCGGGTGAGGATAAAGATTTTTAAAAAATTAAAAAAAATAGCCCTGGCCAGTTTGGCTCAGCGGTTAGAGCGTCAGCCTGCGGTCCGGAGAGACCCGGGTTCGGTTCCCGCTAAGGGCACGTACTTCGGTTGCAGTTTGTCCCCGGCCCTGGTTGGTCGTGTGGGTGGCAGCCACTCGATGTGTCCCTTCACGTCGATGTTTCTCTCTCTCTCTCTCTCCCCCTTCCTCTCTCTCCCTCCCACTCTATCTGTACAAAAAATGGAAAAATATCCTCGGATGAGGATAAAAAAAAAAAAAAATTTAAAAAAATAAAATAAAATAAAAATCGGGGCCTCCCTCGATAGCATCTCCCTCATACGGTGGCGGTGAGGCTTAAATCCCCCACGTACATACGTACGTACGTAGGTAGAGTGC